TATTTCTTTTAATTTAAAAAACTTGATTTAAATCGTCCTAAATCCAAATAAAAAATGTATACTCAATTACTTATAATTGTAATTTCATTTTAGCAGTACTTTTAAAATTAGTTAACTAATTCAACCACAAAAACAACAAAAATAAGACATTGAAAATGGAGGAAAAAAGCTTAAAAAAAAAACTTTTAAATTGTTATGAAAGATGAATAATAAATATTAAATTTTGATTGAGTCATTATTTCAATTTAGACTTTGATTATGTTCAATTATTTCGGGTTTTAGATAACTATTAAGTTGTTAACTTTTAAAATCAATTGAAACCAAATTAAGTTAGTTCTTATTTATAATTATGTGTATTATATTATTTTAATTAAATTAAAATTTAAAATGAGTAAAAATTTTATTCATACTCAATTTTAGTTTTGAATTGTTTTAAGTTTGAGTTGATTAATCCATATCATTTTAGCTATACTTTTATGACATTGATAATAAATTTTAAAATAGAATAAGAATACAATACAATAAAAATTTAAGTGAAAAAATGGACATACTAATAATAATTCTAGAAGAAAATTTTTATATCCAAGTCTTGTAGAGATTAAAGGATTTTTTTTTTTTTGAGGATTTTAAAATTCTTCTGCAGAAATATTAATCTAGATCAATGATTTTATAATTGTTTATTTTTTAATCAAGTTGCTGTTATATGAGTTGAGGGAAACAATTCAAACATTTCATTTAAAAAGATATCATAGTTGATACTCATTTAGGAAGATAGCATAGAAATAAATATTATTTGAGTTGTTATGACATCTTACAATATTCTTTACACTTTCTAAATGGAGAAGTTTATTGGCATAAAAATATCAAAAAAATTATTTTGAATGATAGTAATAACAATAAAGCAATAATTAAAAATATGCCATCCTTTTGCTTAATAGAAGAAAATTTTTATAAAAATATGCAAAAGTAATTATTATGAATTTAATATTTTTTAAAATTGTTGTTTGCTCAATTTTTATAAATTTTATTTAATAAATTTTTTCTTATTACTTTTATCAAATATAAAACAAAATTTTTTACCCAGAATTATATATCTAAAGATAGAATTATAAGGCAAAGTTTATTACTTCTATTGATAATAGAACACTTTAAAATTTTTAGTCTTTTATATGTAGTTGTACTTCGCTAATAGGTAGGGTGTAAATAATATATTAGTACTCGTAAACTACTCAAATTCGAATCGAATAAAACTCGAATTTGGCTCGATTATTATCAAGGCAAGCTCGAGCTCAAGTTGCTCGACTCATCGATCGAGCAAAGTTCGAGTATTCTTATACCTGACTCGAATAGCTTACGAGCTTAATCAAGTTTCTATATTTAAATATATTTTTATTATTTTAATTCATAAAATATCTCGAACTTAAGTTTGAGCTCGAGCACAAATAATCGAGCTTTTATTGAATATAAGAATATAACTTATTTTTACATATTAATCGAGCCTAATCAAGCAAGCTCGAGTAGTTTGATTTCTATCTCAAGTCAAGCTCAAGCTAAAAAAATAAAACTTGATCGAGTTCGAGCCTCGAATTTCGAATTAAGCTCGAATTCGATTGATTACACCCTTACTAACAAGTATAAAAATATACACACTAATAATTCAATCAAATCATTAAAAAAGCTATTTTTAATATTTTACCATGAAGTAAAAAATTTGAAGAATATCATAGAAATGTTGACTTAATATATATTGTATATATTTATTTAATTTAATTTTAATACTTGCATTAGTATAAAAAGTTATGCTTTTAACTTGTTATTATGTGTTAAATTATGAATAGTAAATTAAAAGCATTTACTCATGCTTTTCAAGTCATTTACACTTGAATTTTTTAATTTTTCTTTCTCTACCTTATGAATTATATCATCTAGCATATATTATGATTACTTTTTTTATATACACATAAATCAATGATAACATAATAATTGATAATTAATAACTTAGTAATTAATCATTAAAAACTTTAATATAATCAGTATAACTTAGTAGCAATTATTGATAACTTAATAGCAAGTTAGTAATAACTTAATAGTAAGTTAGTAATAACTTAATAGCAAGTTAGTAATAACTTAATAGTAAATTAATGATAATTTAGCAGTTAAACATTGATAACTTTCTAGTAAATTAGTAATAATACAATAATAAAATGTATAATACTTTAACGATAAATCAATTATAATATAATTATAAATGTATAATACTATAATACTAAATCAATGATAACTTAATAAAAAATAAGTGATAACTTAGTAGTTAATTATTGATAACTTAGTAATAAATTAATAATAATTTAATAGTAAATTAGTGATAATTTAATAATAAATCAGTTTCAGTTTAATAATAATTAATTGATAATAGTAAATAATAAATATTTTAATAGTCAATCAATTATATATTAGTAGTAAATAATTGATAATTTAGTAGTTATTCATTGAAAACATTAAAGTAAATCAGTATAATTTAATAGTAAATAATTGATAAAATAATAGTTAATCAATAACAACCTGATAGTAAATCACGCATAGTTTAATATAAATCAGTAATAACTTAATAATTAATCATGGATAATTTAGTGATAAATCAGTGATAATTTTGTGATAAATAATTAAAAATTAAATAATCAATGATAAAATAATAAAAAATATATAAAAAATATAATAGTAAATCATTAATAATTTAATAGCAAATTAATAACTTAATAGTAAATTACTAATAACATAATAGTAAATTAATAACTATTTAATTGTAAAACAGTGATAATTTAGTAATAAATTAATTAATCATTGCTAACTTTTTAGTAAATAATTGGTAAATAAATAGTAAATTAATTATAACTTTATAATAAATTATTAATAATTTAGTGGTAAATCACCAATAATTTAATAGTAAATCATTAATAATTTAATGACAAATCATTCATAAATTAGTAGTGCATCATTGATAGCTTAATAATAAATAACTAATAACTTAATTGTCAATCATTGATAACTTTTATTATACTTAAAGTTGTCAAGGTTTGAAACCTGGGTACTAACAGAAATAAAGTAAAAGCTTTTATTTTAAAGGTTAAGATAAACATACCATGAACCTATTCAATAAAAAATTAGTGAAAAGTTATAAATTTAAATAAAACAATAATGTTATTATATAAAAAGAAATTTATCTCGTACATTATTATTGGATACTTAAATTCATGTGCCATAATTGTAAATGCTTGAAAACCTATTCGTAAATTAATGATAGGTTAATAACAAATAAGTGATAACTTAGTGGTTAATAATTGGTAACTTAATAATAAATCAATAAGAACTTAATAGTAAATTAGTAACAATTTAATAGTAAATCAATATTAATTTAATAATAATTAATTGATAATTTAGTAGTAATTTATAAATAACTTAATAGTAAAATCAATGATAATTTAGTAGTTAATCATTAGAAACTTAAAAGTAAATCAATATAACTTAGTAGTAGTTAATCATCAATAACTTAATAGTAAATCATGGATAATTTAATATAAATTAATGATAACTTAATAATGAATAATGGTTAATTTTGTAATAAATATGCAAAGATTTTATAATAAATAATCAAAAACCCAAGTAGTAAATCAATGATAATATAGTATTAAATGCATAATAACATAATAGTAAATTATTGATAACTTAGATGTAAATTATTAATAACTTAATAGTAAATTACTAATAATTTAGTTATAAATTAGTAATAATTTAATAGTAAATTAGTTAATTATTGATAATTTTGTAGTAAATTATTGATAAATTAATAGTAAATCAGTTATAATTTTGTAAAAAATTATCAGCAATTTAGACATAAACCATCAACAATTTAGTAGTAAATGAATCATAACTTAGTAGTAAATTATTCATAAATTAGTAGTAAATTAATGTTAATTTAGTAGTAAATCATTGACACTTTAGTAGTATATTATTGATAGCTTCATAATAAATCGCTGATAACATAATAGTAAATAAATAATAATTTAGTTGTCAATCATTGATACATTTTTTTATATTTAAAGTTGTCAACAATTGAATCTTGGTCACTAACATAAATTGAGCTAAATATTTTATCTTAGGATGCTAGGATAAATCAACCACAAACTTATTCAATAAAAAAATTTTAGTGAAAAAAACTCTAAATTTGAATGAAATAATAATATTATTGTATAAAAAATTTATCTTATATTAGAACTGAACCGCTCTTTTTACAAGAACTATTGTTGAATATATAATAACACAAATTTTATTAATAATTATAAAAAATATATAATAAGTTATCAAAAAATAACAAAAATTACTTCAAGATATTATTGAAATTTTATTAAAAATAATATCAAAATAGTATAAATAGTTACCAAAATTATATCATAAGTTACCAAAATTGTATTGAAGGTTACCAAAATTTTATAAAAATTATCGAAATTAAAATTATATCAAAAGTTATTACATTATACCAAAACCAAAATTAAATTATTAGTATTTATCATTATTATTATAATATCAAAAAAATTATTCATTGAAATAAATTTTTAAAAATAAAATTATACGTACGTTAAATACGTGCAAAAAACTAGTATATATAAATAAATAATGAAGAAAAGAAAAAGGTTATAATTACTGATACAAATTTATTTAGAACACAAAATGTCAACATAACTTCACCTTGATCTTATAGCAACATAATTTTATTCTTTAGAAATGTACACAATAACCAACAAGATGCAACTTCGTTAATTCTAGTATTGTAAACTCCTATTTTGATTTTACCTATTATACTATTATTATAATTATTTATGATCCATGTTGTTGTTTAAAACATCATATTAAAGTCAAATTCCACAATTTACACCGAAAAAAAAAAAAAAGATATATACATTGAACCAGGCAAGTGGCATCACCTACTAGTTTTACACTTTCGGAGCTGCTCCCTTCATTTTGTAGCTTCCCTCTCTATCCCTCTCTTTCTACTATGAAGAGTGCAACCAAACAATGTTTTGATCGCCAAAACCTATTATTTCCTTTCCTCCTCTATCTTTCAATCATCCTGGAATATCTAACTTTAACGTTTGCCGGTGACTCACCTCCTCCCTATATCCCTGTAGAGAACATCACGATCGACTGTGGTTCCCCTCACGACAACACAGCTCTAGATGGCCGGTTTTGGACTAGAGACAACACCCAAAAGTTCCCCCTTATTGAATCACAACACAACAAATCAGTATCATCGGAAGCACCTATTGATCAAGTCCCCTTCATCAGTGCTCGGGTTTCCAAGTCAGAATTCACCTACATAATTCCCCTCACATCTGGGCGAAAATTTATTCGCTTGTATTTCTATCCAACTTCGTATCCAAGCTTTGACCCTTTGAAAGCTTTCTTTTCCGTTAAAACTGGTGAGTTTACACTTCTCAGTAACTTCAACGCTACTCTTCATGCTCAAGGTGAAGAAACGCTCATCAAGGAGTTTTGTGTTAACGTTGATGAAGGTCAGGGGTTAAACTTAACTTTTACTCCAAGTCCAGACATTTCAGATTCATATGCTTTTATCAACGGGATTGAAATTGTTTCCATGCCGACTAATCTTTATTATAGACCTGCTGATGATGAAGGGGTCAAGTTTGTTGGCCAGGGAAGCTTATACACCATGGGAAACGACACTGGCCTCGAGTTGATGTATCGAATCAATGTTGGTGGAAAGCAGATCTCACCTGCAGAAGACACTGGCATGTACCGTTCTTGGTCACAAGATGATGAGTACTTGACAGAAGCGGCACCATCCGTTCTTCCTGTTAATCTCAGCATTAATCTCAACTTCAGCAATAAGCCATCGTATTCTGCACCGGATGTTGTCTATACAACAGCTAGGACAATGGGGACTGACTGGACGATTAATGAACATTACAACTTGACTTGGGAGTTCCCTGTTGATTCTGGCTTTAATTATTTTGTTAGGTTACATTTTTGTGAGTTCCAGATAGAGATAACAAAACAATATGACAGAGTCTTTGAGATCTTCATAGCCAATCTAACAGCAGAAACTAAAATGGATGTTATACTCTGGAGTGGTGGAAGAGGAATTCCAACATATAATGATTATGTAGTGGGGATGGGAAGGATAGGAAATGAAAAGAAACAAAATCTCTCCATTGCTTTGCACCCTGCCCCTAGGTGGATGACTCTTTATTCAGATGCAATCCTGAATGGGGTTGAAATCTTCAAATTAAGCAATAATGGCAATCTTGCTGGACTTAACCCTGATCCTAAGCCAACAAGTCCGTCTATAACTGTTCCACAATCCAGTCAACCAGGGATGCACAAGAACAATAAAACAACAATTATAGGTGCTGTTGTTGGAGTATCTGGAATAGTTTTACTCTCTCTTTTATGTTTCTTTATTATCAAGCGAAGGATGAGAGTCGAAGATCCAGCCTCGAGTGATAGAGATTCGTGGTGGGGCGGCCAATTTTCCCACACCAACAAGTCCAACAGTAGCTCCTATCTACCATCTGATATTTGTCGCCACTTTTCACTCGCTGAGATCAAAGTAGCCACCAATAATTTCGACACTGTTTTCATAATCGGTGTTGGAGGTTTTGGTAACGTGTACAAGGGATTCATCAATGGTGGTGCAACCCCAGTGGCAATCAAAAGGTTAAATCCTGAGTCCCAACAAGGGGCCCTTGAGTTCAGGACAGAGATTGAGATGCTTTCCCAACTCCGTTACCTCCATTTAGTCTCTTTAATTGGTTATTGCAATGATGATAATGAGATGATCCTTGTGTATGATTTCATGGCTCATGGGACACTCCGTGATCATCTTTACAACACTGAAAATCCTCCTCTTCCATGGAAACAACGACTAGAGATTTGTATTGGTGCGGCTCGTGGATTGCAATATCTCCATAGTGGGGCAAAGCATATAATCATCCACCGTGATGTTAAGACAACCAATATTTTGTTGGATGAAAAATGGGTGGCTAAGGTTTCCGATTTCGGATTGTCCAAAGTCGGTCCAACCAACATGTCTAAAGGCTACGTTAGTACACTGGTAAAAGGCAGTTTCGGATATTTGGATCCAGAGTATTATCGTCGTCAACAATTGACTGAAAAATCGGATGTATATTCATTTGGGGTGGTGTTATGCGAAGTTTTATGTGCCAGGCCACCAATTCACCGCATAGCAGAAAAGAGCCAAGTGAATTTAGCAATGTGGGCTCAAAAATGCTACCGAATCGGAACCCTTTATCAAATCATTGATCCATTTTTGAAGGGTAAGATTGCACCTGAGTGTTTGAAGAAATATGCCGAGGTTGCACTAAGTTGCTTACATGATGAGGGAATCCAACGGCCATCGATGAGTGATGTGGTGTGGGGCCTTGAATTTGCATTGCAATTGCAGGAAAGTGCTGAGGAGGAGATCAAACTTGGAGGGACTGGAAATGAAATAGATGCAGAGGATGACACCCCATTATTCGAGGATTATGAGTTGGCGGATAAAATTGGTGGAGGATTTAGTAGCTTTGGCATCACACCAAGTAATGAATATAGTTCAGCTACCAAAGATTCTGAAGTTATTATTTCTGGGGAAGTGTTCTCTGAGCTTAAGAATCCTCAAGGACGATAGGATAAAAAGGATAGTAAATAAGGTAAATTTCGTTGCTATGACTTGCATTATGCTAATATATGCATGTAAAACAGTTTCCAAGAAATAGAGAAGAATTAATTAGATCAGGAAGGACATGGGAAATGTCCCAAGGTTAAAACATATACTTTTTTCCTTTTTTTTTTCTTATTAAGTAGTATGACATGAACCCTTGAATTTCCAATAGATTACTTTTCTTAAATTTAATATTTTCTGGTGTCATCTGTACAAACAATTAAAACTATCCCCTATTTATAATTATATAATCACTGCAATTTTGTCTTAAAAAATTATTTGAGTGTTACTTTTGAAGCTATTGCTTATATTTGAGGATACTTTGTCATAAATTAAAAGTTGCTAACTCATTGTTTTTGGCTTTGATTTATTTTAATTTCTTTTTAGTCTTTTGAAGCTATTGCTTATATTTGAGGATACTTTGTCATAAATTAAAAGTTGCTAACTCATTGTTTTTGGCTTTGATTTATTTTAATTTCTTTTTAGTTTTCTTTTTTGTTATTTAATTATTGATTTTCTTATTTATTTGTTTATTCTTTATTTACATAAATATTTAAAATTTTATATTAACAACATATTTTAATTATTTGAAAATAAAAAAAAACTAAAAATATGGGTTTGAAAAATAAATTTATAATTTTTTATAATAATTATTATTTATTTGTATAATGTAAATTTTATAAATTTTTTTAAATAAATGAAAATTATTCTAATGATGAAATTAAAGCAAAATTATTAAAAGATTTTGGAAATATTTCAATAAAAATTTTTATTTTTGATAAATTATTTAGTAAAAAATATATGTTGATAAAATAAAAAAAAAAAAAACAAAGAACCATTTTCAATAAAATATTAAATTAATCTAACAATATAACATCTTTAAATGAACAAATGGACTTTTTTGAATAGTCTTAATATAAGAGAATTTTCTAAAAATTTTGTCATAAGATTGAAGAAAACCTAAAATTTTGTAATATTTTAACTAATAAATTTAATTAAGAATAAAATAATATTTAGCTAGAACCCTTGTAAGATAATATAAAATTAATTTGTACAACCTTTGGATAGATGTTAGAAGATTACTAATACCTTCTTTGCACGTAAATTAATTAATAATATACAATAAAAGTTGTCCTGAAAACAACTCTCAATTGAATTGTGAGCAGCAAAATTGCTTTCTATATGTCAAATAACTATTGATTGATAAAAAAGTGAAATAAATTATTCAATTTGTCAGGTAATGGTATATTAGGCTTTAATTGGATTGGGACATGTGAGTTGTGGTTTAATTAAATTTAGAAAAAAGAATGAGAGGGTCTATTTGATGTAGGTTTGTAATTGAGTGAGATTTTATGGATTTTGAATTTTAATAATTTTTTTTTATTTATAATAAAATAATAAATAATAAATATAAATATAAGTATATATAAAAAAAGCAAAAATTAAAAATTAAGTTACTTTTCTTTTTTTTTCCATTTTAAATATTCTTATAAAAAACTTATATTTTACAGTAAATTGAAAAATTATACGGATGATTAAATGATTAATAAAAAAATACAACGCTTATAAACATAGCATAAAACATTAAAAAAATATAATTACAATATATGAAATACTATATATTAATTTTAATATTTTTTGTCAAAATATATGAAATACCGTACATAATATAGCATGAAAATTTAACAAAAATATTCTTTTTCTCCTCTTCATTGTTTAATATCTAAACATTTTTATACATCCAATCCAAAAGTTCTAAAAGCATCATAGTATATATATTGCAACTTGTGTATTTCAATTTGTTGCATAACACATTCTATGGTGTGATGCTTGTGGCTTTGACACCAAACCCGGAAATTGCTTATCTTGTTTGCACCGCTAGCTGTGTACTTCCTATAAAATCTATTTGTAGAATTTTATTTTCCCAAGACATGTGAATTTGTACACACACTCTTTTTTCTTGCTTAACATTCTTTTTGATCGGTTTAGATAATTTTTTATTATATTTATTTATTGAATTTAAATTTAAATTTTTAATTTGATTTAGTATCACGGTTATTATTTTAATTTTATTATTATAAAAAATTAAAATTAATTTATTATCTTATAACTTGATTGATTCAAAAGGATTTCAAATCTCCAACTAAGCATAAAACATGTTTTACTTTTCCTTTTGAGAACTACAATTTCTCTTTTTCATATAATTTTTTTACTCTCAATTATATCTTAAATCTCTTTTTTTGTTGTCGTGCAAATTTTTTTTTTAATAAAAGATTAGAAAGTAATTCATTATATAATAACTTGATTAGAACAGTATCTTTACTTATAATCTCAATTTTTCAACTTTATTCATTTAATGTTGTATTTTATTTTTCTTGTTTATGATAAAAATATATTGTTTAACAATTAATTTATTTATATATATTTTTAAAAATGATTATCAAAATTTTAAATAAAATTATTTATTTAATAGATGTTATTTTTTTACACATTTATTTCATTTTAAGAAAAATTAAGATCATATATAATATTATTTAAACCTTGCAAAATCAAATATCAAAATCCATTATTACATCCAATACATTTTTATTATAATCCCGCGGCGAAACATGAGCTTTTATCTAGCATTAATAAAAACAGCCAATTATAATTGCGGGGCTAAGGCAAGAAACTTTCAAATATCAAATTCTTAAAAATTATTTTCCAATCAAAGAATAGTAATGAACTTAGGCTTACATTAAAATTATATCACAGTTACGTGGGAAAAGAAATATTTTATCTCACATATATAATTTTTTTTTTTTCCCCCTCAACTCCGCTTTCCTCAAGTGCAGAGGTGGCAAAGCTTATTCGAATATGATATCCATTTGGATTGATATGTAACCGAACCCAAATCAATTTGGATTAATTTTAAAATGTAAAAGACCTAAATTCAAAAAATTTAAATTCGAAAAAGTCTTAATCCAAAGTAATTCAAACTAAAAGGAATCCAAAAACAACAAAATTCAAATCTGTCGTAACTTCAATTTGCTATGATTTTAACCTAAGATTAATCTGATCCAAAATCTGTAAAAAAAAAAAAAATCAAATTTATAACCAAAAGACTTGATCTATATTTATTATATGATTTTATTTAAAAATAAAAATTGTAAATAAATGATAACCTTTTTTCGTAAATAAAAATTCTAAAATTTTGAAAATGTTATTATTATATAATTATTATACAATTATATAAAAAAAGTATTATGAAAAATATTAATCAATATTATATCTCTAAATTGAATTATGAAATGAAATATTAAGTTGATATACATTAAATGTGAATATTAAATGATTTTTAATACTATTTTTTTATTATATTTACAATAATTAATTAAAGTGGCAAAATGGATCAAACATGAAAACTCCCCCAAAAAGCTGAACTCAAATCCATTAGAACTCGATTTGATAAAAAAGAATAAAAATATGAACTTAAGAAAATCAGATTTCAAAATTTACAAAATTTGGAAAAACATGAATCCAAAATTATTTGAATTTAATTCGTGCTAAAAAAGAATGTTGTAAAATGACTACATATTTCATAATTAAAAAATGATTTGATTAACTCAAATTCGAAATAATCCAAATCTAAAATGATCCCATTCAAACCCATTTAGACCAATCCGATTGCCACTTCTTCAATTAAGCATAAAAATAACAAATAATATTGTTAGTTTAATCTTTGATTTTATTACAAAATAATCATTTACAATATATTTCTAATTCTACATTCAAAATTTTAATTTTTATAGAATAATAATTCAAATATAAAAAAATGATATTATAATTTCAACATGTGATTAAACTATTATTTTTATAAAACATTAACAAATTTAAACTTTAAGATAATTTTTTTTTTGTTTTTGAAACATATGAAAATATTAAATAGTAATAGTTCATATTTAAAAATGATTCAAATTAAAATTATTCAGACTCGAAAATATTTGCAATTAAAAAAAATTGAAATAAAAAAATTCAAATTTGAAATGAATTCAAATATAAATGGATCGAAATTCAAAAACAACCCAATTCAAACCCGCCCATTTACATCCTCCAATTCGAATCTTGGCTGTTCATGAGTAAACTCCAATGCTTCCTTAAAATTGGAGCAAGTTAGCCCAAGGGTTGAAAGCCGGTTAAGAAACGTTTCAGTAACATGCAGGACCATTTTGCACACGTCTCTTTGCTTCGTTCTTTTGCTTTAATTTCTACTTAAATCATTAGAATCATTATTCTGATCACATGACATTTCTTGCTCGCTAGTCCATGTCAATGGGACCATACGTCTTTGGCAACATCTGCCTCATAATTCCACAACAGAATAAAAATCCAAAAAAAAAAAAAAAGGAACCACGATTATTGATTGATCTGCTAATTGGATAGTGACTTTATTATATAGCAAATTCATATGTATTAATTACTAATTTGATTCATGATTTTATATTTGGTGGAACAGATAAATAAGAGTTCAATTACCACCTAAAATCCATCTGATTTAAAACTTCTGAATCTTCCAAGCTAAGAGAAAATGATGAGAACTGAGAAACCTAAGAGCCTATGGCTTGCTTTTGCTTTAGCAGTCCTACTGATTTTACTCAACCCAAATGTATCCAACGCAGCTTCGGTCAGTAGAGGCAGCGGGAGTTCAAGCAACGGAAACATTGCTGAGTTCATTGGAGAAGAAGAGTTCCTGATGGAGTCCGGTGCTGGAATGAATGCAAGGCTTCTTGGAACCAATTACATAAGTTATGATTCTTTGCAGAAGGGACCAGCATTTTCAGGAGACAAGTACGCTATAGCCCTCAACAAGGACAACAGGGGCTGCCAAATATATGACAAGTGCCGCCAAGGTAACTAAGCTGTGAATGAATCTATGGCTGAGAACAATGTTTCAATTAACTAAAAAAATAAACCTTGTTGTATCAGAACAGAAAGCCCTTTCTGTTTCCTTTTACTGTCTTTAATTCTGTGTCTGTAGTCGAGTTTTTTCCCTGCTTTTCATTTGGGTTACTGTAATTTTCTTCTGCTTTTAATCTGGTAAAATTTGACCCAGATTCCCAGTATTATATGCATGGATTTGGTTTACTGTAATTCATCTTAAATATAATTCATAATGCTCCTGATTCATGCTTGATTCCACAGTTTCTATGAAGTTCTTTTGCGGTTCTGTTAGGAGATGCCCCTTTGTACTCATTATTGCGCTAAGCTT